ACCTCCCAATGCTTCCTGAATAAGAAGCACTTGATTTTCTGGTATCATCACTCTTGATGATCCCAGCCAGGGAAGTGGGTCACCAGCGCAGACCGGTGAGGTAAGTAGTGAAAGGTAACTAAATCTATTAATTTATAGCACACGGAGGGGGGATAGTGGTGGACATCCACATTTTTAGCAGAGCATTATAGCGTTGGTAACACATGGTTGTAATATAATACTATATTGCTCCTTTAAACATATTTACTAACTATATTTTTATCTTAATTATACTATCCACATGTACAAATCATTTTCAGTGTTGACAGCAACACTTTTGACTCTTTCTCCTAATAAAACTGTTCAGCTGAATAAATATGGTAATTAGCAGAGTAATAGTGATTAGAGCTACACCAAACTAGTACTAAATATAATCGTTAATTAACTTGGGATTTCTGGGGTGGGATTTTTGCAACCACCAGCTCCCATTTCTGGATTTATTCATCCGTGGGATTTTAATGAATTCACATGAGGATCTTTAAGCACATAAGTATATACCCAGATGAGATGAGATGTTTGTTATAGTTGGTTAGATCATTTTTAGCACCAACACACCCAAAACAGGGGCCGATACTCCCCCCACACAAACTCAAGGGCAACTTAGGTACCCTCCCCTCGCCTCCCTCCTCACCCCTCCGGCTACTCCCTTGGTCATTAGTGTGGCAAAAGTGACCTCGCCACTGGGTTCTGGAGGGGCCTAATTGCTTGCCTTTTGCCCCAAGATTATGGCCCTGTAATGTATGGCCCTTTAAAACTGTTATTGGGGCATTTTGAGACTTTTGGGAACAATGCCCCTTTAAAACTGTGTCCCCAGATGTTTAAATTACTTTGTTCGTGGCTTTTTCCTATTTGGTTCGGTAAATGGGGCTTACCGAACCAATTACTGCATAGGCGGACCACACAGAAGTGGAGGTGTGCGGCTAATTTACCTCCCAGGCTGGGAGGTTGCTGTAGGTTAATTGCCGACCGCTGGGTGGCTGCTATTCGTACAGACGAACATGTGGCGGCGGCCACCTTTATTTAGCCAAACGCGGTCAGTGGTGTGTGCAGTCAGATCTATGGAACTAAAATCGGCTAACCATTTGCACGAACACCGCTGACCCTTACCTTCTCCTCCACTAAGCCCCGGCGATTTGAAACTAAGCTATCTGCACGAACGGAACAGTGCAAGAACACCACACACTCGAGCACCAACTATAAGAAGGGTAACTCACAAATCTTCCAAGACATCCACAAGCCTGTTAAAAATATAAAAACGGTGCAAAGATCCAATGTCATTCATCCCATACTTGTACTGCATATTTTCTAACTACTGTTTACCAATATATTGCTTATGCTCTGCACTGAAAAATAAAGAATATATATATATATATATATATATATATATATATATATCATGTTTTATAGTATACTTATAGAAAAAGGTGCATGCATGGGTATGTGGAAGCTAAGTACTGTGACTGTGACTGTGACATTGACTTAAAGGAACACTATAGTCACCAGAACAACTACAGCTTATTGAATTTGTTCTGGTGAGTAGAATCATTACCTTCAGGCTTTTTTGCTGTAAACACTGTCTTTTCAGAGAAAATGCAGTGTTTACATTACAGCCTAGTGATAACTTCACTGGTCACTCCTCAGATGGCTGTTAGAGATCCTTCCTGGGTCATGGCTGCCTAAAATGCACCCAAACATTCAGTGTCTCCACCTTCTGCATGAAGACACAGAACTTTCCTCATAGAGACTCATTGAGAGATTCTTTCTTACTGTGCTTTCTGGTTAGGTCACTGACCTGTATATGGCTGAGGAATCTTCAATATCCTGATAAATATCTGGTATTAAACACTTTAGTTTGTCTGTTTAAATATTCTAGGTGATTCTTCAAGGCCTGAATATTTGCAGGGTTAGTAATTAAATGGAGGGAGCCTTATAGGAATATCATCAAAGGGAAGAGCCTAAAATCAATCTGTTTAAACACATTTTGAGTTTGTTTCCCCTATGGGGACAGCCACTTATTTATGTAAAGATTTCACAAAAGCGGGATATAACAGGAAAATATGAATAACAGAGTCTGGGACGGACATCTAGTATACAACAAGTGACCCCAGTGTGACATTAGTTGCAATGTTAATTCAAATATCAAAACTCACAAAATGAGGCAATCAGTCAAAGACATCCAAAGAAAATAGATACAAAAAAAGAGAATCATAGAAATGACTAGTTGGAAAACAGAATATAGAACAGGAGAGAAAGGAGAAAGGTGTGAGAGGGAATGTCCATGTTATTTATTTCCTCTACTGACGACATCCACTACAGGAGAGTAGACAGAACCTTGGATCTCTATTGACAGGGAGTGATAATTTTAACCACAGTTAATAGATGTTAGTTCATAAATTTTTTTTACAATGCGATGGAGATGGGGGTTAGATGAAGTAACATGACTTTGGATTGGAAAAGGAGACCTAACCCGACCACATCCACAATAGATATTTTTACCGGGGGACAGACATATTTTTTTGTTTGTCAAAAACACAACATAGAATGTTTTTATGGGGCAAGGCCTGGCCGCCATGCTGAGAAGATGCAGTGGGCTTCAGATACCGATTAATCCTGATGTTTATGAGCTTTAAGGGACTTTAATATCCTGTCATTCGATAATTGTGCAACAGGCGCAAACCTCTGGCACCATTTGGGCTACATGCTAATTTGTTTTGGGTTCCGCTAATACTATTGTGGAACAACTGTCTCCTCTGACTGGTTGTGGCACCTTGGCGGGAGATGCGGCCGATCTCCCCAGCTGAGGCTGCATGAGTCCTCCTGTGGGGGTCAGAGCCCCCACAGGGCTCTGGTGGGGGTTATCCCGGGGCCCCCACCAAGCACAGCTTTATTCATCATCCTGTGAAGTCTGAGCGGGCAGCTCTCACGTGGTCTGTCTAAAATGGCCGACTGCAACACTACGCAGCATGTCATTGCTGCACCTATATATATCTGGAAAGAAGGAACTCATGGAGCAATCAACACAATCTGTCCAAGTTTCTGGTGGAAATTATAGACGAAGAAAGCACACCCTGCTGTCAACTCCAGTGGTGCAGCTTGCTTGCAGAACCTCGGCTTTAAGATTTCCTTTCAGGCAAGGACTTAAGAGGGTCAGCGGGCCACGGGCGGTCCATGTGCCTGAGAAGATCATTGCCCTTTGCGATCTAAAGAACCTCCGCTGGCTGTAAACAGAGTGGCATGTGGCCACTGGGGCTGAAGAGCTGAGAAGCGCCTTGGCATCCAGGAAGGCTGCACTTTACCACTACTGCTATTCCTACCTGGACTTTGCCTGTATGCTGGGGGCATGGGATGAAGGGGCTGCAGTGTGCTTTTAGCAGTGTGTTTATGCTTCACCTCTCTTTCTTACCCTGCTCCTGTTCTTTCATGCTTCCTGGCCCAATCTACCTGTCTTAGCCACAACCATGAGCTCTTGGTGGTACTACTCACAAAAATTTTATGCAAGTTAATTAGCATGCTATTTCGTACTTACAAAAATTGCTAGTACTCATGTTATTGGCCTGTCATTTTCTTAAAAATTGTGCAGATTATTTGCATATAATCTAGTTTTTTAATACTATATCTCAGCACCATAAGCATGTTTCACAACTTACTTTACTATCTCTATTTACATGTCTATGAACTTGCTTGCATAGAGTAGAAGCTTTCTCTCAATATTTCCTCTAGACATGTTTTGCCTAGCCTGTACCTTATACCACTTTGAAAAATTGTGCAGTACACTCGAATGCCTTGTAACTGTTATGCTTTATTCAGTTAATTGCCTTGCCATTGCTGTTGGGACATTGCAAGAATGTCTGTTACTCTTATGCACACAGAAAATAAAGAATTTAAAAAAGAGAGAGCTGCCCTTTAAAGAACTGTGTGCTCCAAATTTGAGAATTGTTAGATGAAAACAATTATAATACAGTTGCAAGAAAAAGTATGTGAACCCTTTGGAATGATATAAAGTTCTGCACAAACTGGTCATAAAATGTGATCTGATCATCATCTAAGTCACAACAATAGACAATCACAGTCTGCTTAAACTAATAACACACAAAGAATGAAATGTTGCCATGTTTTTATTGAACACACCATGTAAACATTCACAGTGCAGGTGGAAAAAGTATGTGAACCCTTGGATTTAATAACTGGCTGAACCTCCTTTGGCAGCAATAACTTCAACCAAACGTTTCCTGTAGTTGCAGATCAGACGTGCACAACGGTCAGGAGTAATTCTTGACCATTCCTCTTTACAGAAGTGTTTCAGTTCAGCAATATTCTTGGGAAGTCTGGTGTGAATCGCTTTCTTGAGGTCATGCCACAGCATCTCAATCGGGTTGAGGTCAGGACTCTGACCGGGCCACTTCAGAAGGTGTATTTTCTTCTGTTTAAGCCATTCTGTTGTTGATTTACTTCTATACGTTCGGTCATTGTCCTGTTACAACACCCATCTTCTGTTGAGCTTCAGCTGGTAGACAGCCTTAAGTTCTCCTGCAAAATGTCTTGATAAACTTGGGAATTCATTTTTCCTTTGATGATAGCAATCCGTCCAGGCCCTGATGCAGCAAAGCAGCCCCAAACCATGATGCCCCCACCACCACACTTCATTGTTGGGATGAGGTTTTGATGTTGGTGTGCTGTGCATTTTTTTCGCCACACATAGTGTTGTGTGTTTCTTCCAAACAACTCAACTTTGGTTTCATCTGTCCACAGAATATTTTGCCATTACTGCTGTGGAACATCCAGGTGCTCTTGTGCAAACTGTAGACGTGCAGCAATGTTTTGTTTGGACAGCAGTGGCTTTCTCTATGGTATCCTCCCATGAAATCCATTCTTGTTTAGTGTTTTACGTATTGGAGATTCGCTAACAGGGATGTTAGCATTTGCCAGTGACTTTTGTAAATCTTTAGCTGACACGCTAGGATTCTTCTTCACTTCACTGAGCAGTCTGCGCTGTGCTCTTGCAGTCATCTTTACAGGACGGCCACTCCTAGGGAGAGTAGCAGCAGTGCTGAACTTTCTCCATTTATAGACAATTTGTCTTACCGTGGACTGATGAACAGCAAGGCTTTTTGAGATACTTTTATAACCCTTTCCAGCTTTATGCAAGTCAACAATTCTTAATCGTAGATCTTCTGAGAGCTCTTTTGTGCGAGGCATCATTCACATCAGGCAATGCTTCTTGTGAAAAGCAAACCCAGAACTGGTGTGTGTGTTTTATAGGTCAGGGCAGCTGTAACCAACACCTCCAATCTCATCTCATTGATTGGACTCCAGTTGGCTGACATCTCACTCCAATTAGCTCTTGGAGATGTCATTAGTCTAGCTGTTCACATACTTTTTCCACCTGCACTGTGAATGCTTACATGGTGTGTTCAATAAAAACATGGCAACATTTCATTCTTTGTGTGTTATTAGTTTAAGCAGACTGTGATTGTCTATTGTTGTGACTTAGATGATGATCAAATCACATTTTATGACCAATTTGTGCAGAAATCCATATCATGCCAAAGGGTTCACATACTTTTTCTTGCAACTGTATCTTTGAAAAGTACGTTTTATTGATGTGTCTGACAGAATTTCAGATATTGTCATCTTCCATAAGTGCAGTATTTAGTATACAGAAATTGACAAAATGCTACATTTTATGATGAAAAATGCCGGCCATCTTCAGTATGTATAACTAACATTTGTCTTAGTGATTTTAACAATCATTTATGTGTTTGATCAATGTAAAAATGTGTCGCTACAGATCATGGGGAGCATTTTTTCATAGACTTCAGCTCAGGAATTTTGCAACTTTTGAATTCACTAGATTCTGGTCAAGTTCAGCTTCCCGAAGCTTTGCATACCGAAATCATGTCTTCCTAGGTTCCCATGGAAGGCATCTGCAGTAATTGTTAAACTTTAGAATCAACGTTCATACAGTTTTTTTTTTTACAGGGTCTATAGCACAACTGGAAAAAAAGCATTAATATAAATTCTTAAATATCCTAATAGCTTTATATAACTGAGAACATAATGCCAAGCATATTCACATTTTCATAATAAGGAATCTCTATGGTCTATATGTAAATAAAAAAATATATCAAGGGACGAATGTTAAATCCCCACGATAACAATTACAGCATCATTAAATCAATTTCCTCTGGGAATACCTTGCTCAACTCACGTAATTAGTACAGGTTTAAAGACTGGGTTCTCAACACCCACTATATGAGTCCAGACTGCATCATACAGAATATGATCCCACTTGCTGTTTCAACAGATAATTTTGGGAACATTTTACTTCTATGTTTCCAGACTTGTTTAGCAACCAGCATAATGTTCTGCAACATTTTGGTTTTTGTAGCTATTGTGTCCTCAGGGTCATTTAGGAGAGAGAACAGGTTTATCTATATGATGGGCACCTGTTTTAGTGATTTTTGCACAGGGATTACCTGGTATTATATTGGAATATTTGATGTCAGAGAGGACACGCCACGTAAAAATGACACTAAGTACATAGCTTCAAACTTTGTTGGAATCTCTTACCTCACCATTTTGGCAGCACAAGCCGATAGGTACTGTGCAGTCAGTTTTCCCCTCGGGTACATTAAAAGGATGACCTGCAAAAAGACCATCGGAATTATGTTTCTACTCTGGTCTTATAGCTTTGCGATATTAATTTCTCATAACTTAACCCCATCAGGTACAGCTCTCAAAATCCAAGCAATGGGTATGCTTGTGTGGACTGTAATTACCTACATAATCATGGTGGGCCTGAATATCAAATTATTTCTGATAGCTAAATACCAGAAAGAAAGGGTGCCCTGTTCAGACCGAGGGGAAAGCAGGAGTTCTCTGTATATGATAATAGGGGTGGCTGCCAGTTTCATTCTGCTTTGGGCCCCGATCTTTGTCAAGTCCATTGTCTGTTCCTTCACATACATAAATTGGTGTTCTCCATCAAGTAACCTCTGCACAAATGCTGTAGCTGTTCTACCCCGCCTGAACTGTGTGTTGACCCCATTACTATATATTAAGGGCTGTTCTTCTATCAAGAAAACCATACACAAGATTTTCAATGGTTGCTGCTGCAGGATCTGTAGGTAAGTAACAAACTGTCCTATTAAATTGAATTCAGATATAATTCTCCTTAATAAAAAAAAAGTACACGTAGCTTAGGGTGCTATTTAAGAAGACTGATTTCTGGTAGGGCCTCAGATAAATAACGTATACATAATGCATATACATATATTATTTCAATCAGAAATCTCTGTCTAGTTAATTAATTAAAATGAGAATTCAAAGTAAATTTAAAATGTAAGAACAGAGTAGCTCGACTAAAGCATAGCTAATTTAGAGACTTTTTCTAGTTTGCTGTTAAATTTGAGATTCACCTTGAATTCTCACTTTAGCGAATAATCCGACTGTTAATTCTTACACTTTTTTTTAGGGAACATATATATGATCTAAAAGATCCATGACGACATTTAAAACTTTGTAAGGCATGAAAAGTACCAACATAAGATAGTATTATAACCATCAGAATTAAGAATTAAAGTGGGTTGTGTCTCTAACTCAATTAAGGAATTTTGACATCCAAAGATCTTGTTATGATCACCTTACCCACACTGAAAATGTGCCATTGTACAGAGCACTCGTGAGACCTACCTTAGAGTATTGTACACAGTACTGGAGACCGTATCTTCAGAAGGATATTGATACCTTAGAGAGGGTTCAGAGAAGGGCTACTAAACTGGTTCATGGATTGCAGGATAAAAACTTACCAGGAAAGGTTAAAGGATCTTAACATGTATAGCTTGGAGGAAAGACGAGACAGGGGGGATATGATAGAAACATTTAAATACATAAAGGGAATCAACACAGTAAAGGAGGAGACTATATTTAAAAGGACATAGTCTTAAAATAGAGGGGCAAAGATTTAAACATTAGGAAGTATTACTTTACTGAGAGGGTAGTGGAGGCATTGAATACCCTTCCAGTTGAAGTGGTAGAGGTTAACACAGTGTGGGAGTTTAAGCATGCATGGGATGGGCATAAGGCTATCCTACATATAAAAGACTAATGCAAGTATTAAGAAAATGTGGCAGACTAGATGGGCAGAATGGCTCTTATATGCCGTCACATTCTATGTTTCTATGAATTTTCTAATTGAAAACTGAATTGATAAAATGACATGGATTGGACAAGGATAGTAATACAGACAAAGAATTAGTTAGAAGACAGAAGGCAAAATATTGTGACCAATGTTGTATACTAAATCTAGGGGACTGTTGTTCATATGGATCAGTTACGGAGTAGTGATTTTTATTATTTTTAGCAATGACATTACAGATGCTTTAAGAGACAAACTGCATTTTCACACATGATTTTGTGATATGTGTTCCTATGGGTGTTCACTAAATGTATGATGATTATGGAAAGTATATAACCAGTTAAGCATATGGATGAAGAAAGTGATCTAGGTGTTATCTTGAATGACAAGTAAATCAATAACTGATAAAGTTTGTTTTTTTTACAGGTTTTATATAATGTAACGTGAGAACAGAAAAGAAAATGTGGTATATATTAGAGATGCTCAATAGATAATTTCAGGGATCCAATATCCAGGTCGTAGGGTGTGACAGAACCTGTAGTTATCAAAATGTGTCTTCCCATGTTAGAGAACAGCTCCATACACATAACGCATTCACCTTGCAATTTTAATAGCAGTTTATAAAAGATCAGTTTTTTTAATATTTTTTAATCAGCACTTTTTAAAATAATTGCAAACATCTCCCTGGTTGTCCATCAGAGAGCCAGGGAGATGATCTATTAGCTCAACAGATAGTCTGGGCTGGGGAGAAAGGGTGGGCTTGCAAAAGGATTTTTTTTTGCGGGTGTTTTTTTTAGGTATAACCCAAATGAACAGTACACCTGCATAAATAAATAAATGCATTTTTTCATTGTAGGTAATCTAGCAAATAGCGATTTTAAAGAATTGCCCAATGGATTATTCCTTTAATAATCCTCATAGCATTTAAAGTGTCAATTTAATTAGAGAAAACCAAACATCATGGGTGCCTTAACAGTGTGCACACTGATACTTTTATGAAAAGATTACATCTGAAATCCAAAACAGACTCAAAAGTAGCAAACAAACAAAAAAAAAACATAAAACAATAATAGTATTCCACAAACAAACTATCCCACTATAAATAGTTACATAGTTACACAGCTGAAAAGAGACCTGCGGCCATCATGTTCAGCCTTCCTCACATATGTTTTTGCTGTTGATCCAAAAGAAGGCAAAAAACCTAGTCTGAGGCGCTTCCAATTTTGCAACAAACTAGGAAACAAATTCCTACTTGACCCCAAAAAAGCGGATGTCTCCTTGGATCAAGCAGCTATTACCCCACTTATTAGAAATTATATCCCTGTATGTTATGTTTTTGTAAGTATTTATCCAATTGCAGTTTAAACATCTGTATGGACTCTGATAAAACCACCACTTCAGGCAGAGAATTCCATATCTTTATTGTTCTTATAGTAAAAAAACCTTTTCTTTGCCTTAGATGAAATCTCCTTTCTTCCAACCTAAATGTGTGACCTCGTGTCCTATGTATAGCCCTGTTTATGAATAGATTTCCAGATAATGGTTTGTACTGGCCCCGAATATACTTGTATAATGTTATCATATCCCCTCTTAGTATTTTTACTAATCTCATAAAAAAATAGTGCAGATCAATAATTGTATGCTAGAAGCCCAAGTCAGTGCTGTACTCTGTGTCTATGGAGAATCTTGTGAGACAGCTGAAGCCTCAGTAGACAAAGCCTTTTTCTTCATAGCCATCAATAGTGATTGCTGAGGGAAATGACCAAATTTAACTGCAGTAGCTCATGTCACGTTTTGTCAGTGGTAGGAAAAATGCATGCAATCACTGTGAGTATTTCAGAAAAAACAAAAAAAATAATGCCAGGAAAGGCAAGCACTCCAAATCCAACTGAAAAGGTTTATTCTACAAGGTACATAGACAAACAGGGTTAAACAAAAGGGGGGACAGAAGTGATTTAAAATTGAAATTTGCTTTGAAATCTCACTTTATTCAATACCCCTATATTTCTCTTCTGTTAAATCTGTCTTTCTATATATACAATTTAGTAGCACTAGACACATCAAAATCTTTAAATTTTGGACCATTAAAACCATTAATTTTTATTATTATTATTATTATATTTACAAAGCAACAACAAATTCCACAGCGCTGTACAATAGGAGGACTAACAGACATGTATTTATAGACAAGTTGGACGCACAGCAAAAGAGGAGTTGCGGGTTAATCTATCACTGTACAAGTAAACGCACATGTTCATATGAATATTGATTTAAATGAGTATGTAGCTCTGTTTTCCATATGCTCTTACTCATTAAAGTAGGCCTTTATTTGTATCGTTGTGTGCATAAATACATTAGTTAAGGAGATTCTGTGTCCTGAAGAGTTTGAATTGCTACAGAATGCAGAGACACCAACCAACCATTCATATCTCTGATTATAGGCTAATTTTGGGAGTGCAGATGTTTGTAAAATATGATTCCCTTTAAGACTACATGATGCTCACCTTGACTGACTACAGGCCCGCCATCATGTTCGTGATGTTCCCGGATGAGGAAATGTCCTCGAGCAGCACAGAACTTTAATAGATACACCCATGCTGTGAACCAACACTAGCACCCTACAGCTCTCTCTGCAAGGTCCTGTAGGTTGGGTGCCAGCAAGAAAGGCCCTTTCAGTAGGTGGGCCAATCTCATAGCTCCCAATGGTGGGAGATATGTAACTATCAACATTATCATCTTTCAGGCTTTTTGGTGATTGTAAAAATTTATACAATATCAACGTCATCCTCTGTTCACTAATTTCATAAGTAAAGTAAAGCGAATTCAGCGTGCACAAAGTATGTGTTCATTTAAAAATCTCTATATAGTATAACATTGCTTCTCTATGTCTGTCGTTTACAGGAAAATTGAGAATAATTCAGTGGGCTGTACAGAAAGCATAGCTGTATTTGTGATATCCAGATGAACAGTCTTAATGGCAGCATAAGTCTAGGCTGGTTCTCTCTCCTTCTAAGGTAAACTGAAATGTTCTTGTTTTATACAACCTTATTTTCATGGGAAATTTGTGAATAGTGGCCATAGTGTCAGGCCTGACTTCAGGGGGATTTATTTACTAAATACTGATTTAAATAGAACAGAACACTGAATTGCTGTCACAGGAGTCATACCCCCAACACGCAGGAAAGAGGAAAGCCACAAAAGGTGGATCCAAAAGGCGTATTACTGAGCCTTAGAATGGCCGGACTTAGCGTATAAATACAACAAAAAACAGGGTCAAGATAAATCAAGGACAGAATACCAGAAATCACGAGTCAAATACAAAGCTGAGGTCAGGATACCAGAAACCACGAATCTAATATGAAGCCGAGGTCAGGATACCAGAAATCACGAATCTAATATGAAGCCGAGGTCAGGATACCAGAAATCACAAGGGAATCTCTAGGAGCACTAAACGAGGATCTAACAGAAACCACGGTAGGGCAATGAATGGGGGCTAAAACAAGCCTTAAATAGGCTTACCTATGTTCTGATAGGTCCATGTCATTATTGCGATCCAAAACAGATTAGGATCGCAATAATGACGTGGTCACTTTAAGAGTGCGTGACGTCACGTCCACATCTATTTATAGATGTCCTGCCGTGCGGCTACATTGTTCGACCAGACCGCGTGGCAGGAGCAGATATGCACGGATCGAGGGAGGTGAGTCTCCTCAGTGTGCCGCACGGTCGTGTGGATCAGTCGGACTGCACGGTAGGAGGAGGTCTGCGCGGCTCAGCGGGGGTAAGTAATGCCACAATTGCAAAATGTATGTTAAAATAGTCAAACTGTATTTCACCAAATCAGCTATTTTGGCCTACATTTGGCAATGCGGTATTTAATTCACTACAATCCAGTTTTTTGTGAATAACCCCCAGTGTTGCCATTCCTTGTCAAGTAATCGACTGGTCACGTTGTTAGTTCCTCCATACAGTGATAACTGGCTCTAAGAAAGCATAAAGATGGTACAAGACCTACCGAAACAGACATACATGCTGCACAACAGAAGTGCAGTTATATTTGTTATTTTTTAGAATAACAAATCAGCAAAGATCAGAAAGTCACTTTAATCAGTGTGCCAATTAATAACCTGTTAGGCAACCTGAGCTGGACATACCTTACCAATAGCCTAAGGCAGACAGGCTTTATGATCTATTCTAAACCATGTGCTTGTTACCTTCTTTTCTGAATATCCTTTATGTTCCTTAACCTCTTCATAACCAAGTTATATTAAACTAGTTTTGCGTATCTCACTACCAAGGATAATAAGGACTATTTCATGGTTTCCTATTTATATGGGATTGGGTAATGGCCATGTAATTGGGTAGGTATAGATCAGATCACTATTTATACAAGTTAGAACATGATGAGGATCATAAATTAATTCCTTTAACAAAAATTCTAATGAATTCTGATGAATGGGATGGTAGGGTTAATGCATGCTGTATATCTTGATACGACATTGGCTCTTTGTTATTATCTAGAGCAGCATTTCCCACCTTGGACCAAAACACACTTCAAGGAGAGACACGTTTAATTTATTTACTAAAGTTAGAATTCAAACTGAAGGTAAAATTTAAGGCCAGAGTAGCCACACTGGAAGCATAGCTGATGTAGAGAATTTTTCTAGTTCAGCTACTTTGACCTTACATTTAAGATTCGCTTTGAATTCTCACTTGAGTGAATATCCCTGATAATGTTTCCCCCTTCATCAGCACCTTATGAGTGTTATATTTACCTAGAAAGATATGCATACATGTATCTAAATTACTATTGGTTTTAATTCATTTCCGAATGGCAAACCCTATTTTAATGCTGATACTTATAAAAAAGAAATACATTTTAAAGGCTGTATTCAACCTGATACAGGCCTGACATTCATTTGTTTGTGGCTCACGTTGAGGTGGCTTGAGGCACTACTTATTGCCAAGAGGGGAGCTATGTTTAAACAAGCTCTGCTCTTACGTGCATGTATTAGTTCTGCTATAAAGTTCTGTTGTATTGTATGGCATTGTAAAACAGACTAATGCAAGCCAATGATATATACAGTACTAGCAGGACAGAATGGTTTCTGTATAGAAAGTGACTCGGATGATTCTTCTATATATCTTGCAATCTTTGCTATAACAGGATGGGCTGATGGGCAATCACTTGAGGCATTCACATTGTTTAAGGCGTCTTTATAATTTGACTATTAAAGAGATCAACAGTAGGATGATTAGAGGTTATCAAAATTGTCCTTAAAATTCTCAAAAGTTAATGTTTTCTAGTTATTGGTCAATATTAGATCATTCACCTGCTAAACCATATATAGTGGTGCCCAAAAGGTAGATCTCCAGATATTTTAGAACTACAACTTCCATGATGCTTTGTAATTGTAAAAGCATTTTAAAGGCATGCAAAACATCTCAGGAATTCTAGTTCTACAAGAATTTACAAGAGATCTACCTTTCGGGCAACCCTGCCATATAGCTCATTGTCCACAGTTTTATTAACCTTAAAAAAAATAAAAAAATCTGTTGCAGTGAATGTGGACTGTATTACTTTGGGAGTAAAACTGTACTGGCAGAGAGCAATCCTGTTGATTAGATTGCAAACCCTAGTGAACAACGATGAATGTAATTTTTATAATATGTTTTGATATAGTTGAAGGACAAATGTCACTAACTTAATTTTTTTTTTTTATAATAAAATTATCCTTATATCAAGTTTTAAAATGAAATAGATTCTGTATTAAATGTATTAATTAATTAAGTATATGTAAGGAATGAGAAACTAATTCCTACCTTTAGTATATGACAGGATCCTTCCGCTATATACATACACCTTTGGTCAGCCAGTGTTTGATTTTGACAGCGAGTCGGTCTGATGATGTCACTGCGCAGGGGGTGAAGCAGGTAAGACCATAGAGACTATAGAGAGATTTTCATACACTGTCTAACCCAAGGTGTATGTATATGGCTGAAATATCCTGTCAAATACTAAAGATAGGGATGTGGTTTTCTTATTTATTTATTTATATTTATTTATTACATATATTTGATTTAACAAAAAATCAATTTCCTTTCAAAATTTGATGAAAGGATCATTATGTTAAAAGATACTGTTGAGGTGACAATTTTCCTTTAATTTCTCCCTATTTGCCCTAGAAAAACTTTCTGTAACAGAAGGGAGTATTGTGGTTCCATCGTTCTGGGTCATAATCCTGGTATACTAATTCAATTCCTTAAAAAACTAACTGTTGGTTCTGGTATATCAATTGATTTAGGTTCTGAAACAGTTTTTTTGAACTATTAATTATTTTAAAAAAAAAATTTTTACAGGACGACGTGATGTGGTCGTTTTGGGGAAATTCGTACTATCACACAGCTCTGGATATCCTAATGTGTTCTTTACAGAAAAACAAGAAGGCAGCCATTAGGATTCTAAGCTTTTGGAAAGAGTTCTCAAAACCTGCTGTGTTGGTTCATGTCTCTAACTCTGTTGTAAATGTTTATATCATATGCATTATTAATTATTTCATGTAAAAATAAAATCAATCATAATTATATAGCTTTTGCATTTTAAATGAACCATTTGTTTTATATGAATTGTATTTATTTTTTCCAGGAGTAGTGATGTCCCGAAAGGTTCGCCAAACGGTTTGCCAACGGTTCGCCACGGACTCCAGTCAGCAGACACATTCCAGCCAATCGGAAGCAGAGCCTCCCTCCCAGACCCTCCCATCTCCTGGACAGCTCACTAAGAATGCAGCTTCAAAATGGATGCTGTCCAGGAGGTGGGAGAGAGGGTCTGCTTCCGATTGGCTGGAATGTGTCTGCTGACTGGAGTCCGCGGTGAACCGTTCGCGGCAAACCGTTCGGCGAACCGTTCGGGACATCCCTATCCAGGAGCATAATTTCAAACAAAAATACATTTTAAAACTGAATTGTAAAATTAAGACTAAAGTACCCAAGCTATGACGATTTTCCAAAAGATTTTTGGTGGGCCTAAATTCTCTAGTTTGATTTTCAATTCACTACAATGTACCTTGTAATCTTACAACCGCCTTTACGGTCTAGAAAGGGTTAAACAGCAACACAAAGAATGGTATTAGCTAAAGGCAGGTGACCTATGTATGTATATACATGTGTGACGCACTCTGACTTTTCTGTTTTCCATTATAGCTTTAAATGTTAGACTATTGCATGTTATGTTTTTGATCTCTCATTGTTTCCGAGTCTTTATTTTGAAATTGAAAATAGAAATGCCTTTTTTTGCAGAACTTTTGAGCTCTATGTATACAATACCACAGCAGAATTGTTGCTTCTGGCTGTGTTTGTGTTTGCATTATATCCCTACCTCCAGAGTTATAGCAAGGGCAGCTGCATATACAAACAGGATTTGCAGACCATTCAGTAAACACCCAGTGCGTGTGTACATTCTTTGCTTGCATTCTATAATTTCTTTGTCAAACATAAAGCTACACAAACAGCAGGCCATGGTATTTGCTAACGTTAGTCAAGGCGGTTTACCTTAATTGAGTTTTTGCTAAGGTTTTGGAATTATCTTTGACACAGAAGGAGTTAAGCAGATTTAAACACATCCTTACAATATGCTTTGTAAAAACATCCATATAGAAATTATATAAAGCCTGTTTTCCTGGAGTTAACCCTTTATAGAGACAAACTATGCTGCCAACTACGAACACACAAAATGAAGCCCTGCCCTCCAACTACTCTTGTTTTAAATCTGTTTTATTGGTTCATTCAATAAGCGATCATCCCACGCAGGGGAGGTAAGCAAATCATAGATAACATATGTCAAAGGCATTAACCATCAAGCATAATATGGATCAATTTCAAAACAGTCAGTGCCTGGTAGGGCGGAAAAGTTTAAGTATATAAGCATATGTTACGTATATTTAACGATATTGATTCTATGAATTATCTGCTAACATGAGGCATTATCTAAATAGTCAAATAAAGTATACAGCAGTATGTTGAGCTTGAATTACTCTTGCCCTCTGGCCTAATAGTTTGGCACATGTTGTGAGAGTTGCGATGTTGGATAAGCGGTCATCCCACGCAGGGGAGGTACGCAAAACTTATCTAAGTTACAAATATAAGATTATCTAAGAATTTGTGGCCTTAAACTTAAGCTCATATGAGCACTGCTGCATGGACAGTGTATGCAAGACTAGTAAAATATATTAAGCAGGCAGCATTATAGCATGAACCTATTACTGAGGCTTTTCAGTCCTCAAAGACCATCAAGCATAAGACAGGAGCATAACGTATATAAAACATGATGCTGCATAATGTACAGCTCTATATGGTGAATAAACGACAAGAAGAAAAAACATTTACTGCTGCCTGTCATGAACAGCGTGTATCAACTCAGTCCACAAGCATTGAGGGGCCACGGACGCGACCCCCCCAAGCGGGGGGAGCCGACTGCAGATGCATTTGCGGCTGATCCCAGGGGCGCCAGGCCTCCGCGGCGTCCCCCCAGGCCGCGCCAAGCTTCCATCCGGGAGTTCTGCAGCACAGCGGGCACTCGGGGATCCAACAGTCCACGGGCCCCACCACCTAAAGTCCGTGTGCCAGTCAGTAATCCCCTGCACCCCCACTACACCACTGGGGTCCCAGATGGTCAGGGTGAAGGCCGTCTTGTGTCTCATCCTTCTCCGGCCACTCGGGGCAGGCGCCGGCCTCCCCACAGCCACCGGTCTGCCGGGGGCTGCCGCGTTCTACTCCACGAGGGCTCACAGCGTCGGGGACAGCTGCCTGCAGGCCCTCCTCAAAACCCACAGGTGACGGCACTTCGGTCTCCGCAGGGCTCAGTCCAAGGGTCGCGGCATCCGGCCAGTGTGCCCCAAGGACACCGCAGCAGCATCCCGCCTGGCTCCCCCGCCCACGTGCATCGCCCCCGGGGCCCCACCTCACCCGCGGGTGTTGCATCCACAGGACAGCTTCTGATGGCAAAGCAGGGCTATTGTAGGCCGTTAAGTCCAGGGTACGTATCGATCCTGTAGCGTAGGCAATAATCGTCTCTTAATTCCGAGTGTAGATGTCGGGCGGGCCACGGGTTGGCAGCCATTGCCTGTGCAGGAGGTCAGCGAGCACTCCGGGCGGCTGTCTCCACCCCAGGGCGTGCAGCCTCCATGTAGCCGGGATTACCCCCACCGGCCGGGGGGGGGGGCCGGGCCGCAGCTCTCACCCGTGTAGATCTCCCCCAATGTGCATAGCATAGTTGGTGTGCTTGTACCTCCGGCCATGCAATCAGGCGTCTATTCTCTGTCTGCAGCTGTCCTCATGCAGGCTTATGCAGGCGTGTAGGCCCGGTTCAGCAGTCTCA